GATATAAGAAACACTAACCAAAAAAGATAACATAGATTAAGTTAGACCACTACAAATTAACTTTATTCATCAAAGACACCATTAAGAGAGTGAAAATGCATGCCACAAACACATACTATATGACTCTAATTATACAAAGTTCAAAAATAGGCAAATCTAATCTATGGCGTTAGAGTATAGATTAATGGTTACCTCTGGGGAGAAGGAGAGGGTAATGACTGGAAGGGGCATGGAGGTGGTTCTGGGAGCCTGGTAATCTACTTTGTTGTCCTGGGTATAGTGAAAAGAATGTGTTCATTTAGTGATAATTCACTAACCTGTGCACTCACAAATTATGCATGTTTCTGTTTGAATATTATATTTCAATAAAAAATGTTTTCTAAAAAAATTCTGGTGTGTACTATTAAATCTCTGGACTTTTCAAAGAATACCTTAGTGAAAGATTACCCTATCCTCTCTGTTACATAAATAAATCTTGGAAAACTATTGCAATATTTCTTTTAAGTATATCAGCGAAATTTCCTTGCTAGTACAGTAACCTAACTTTAAAGGCTAGAACGGTCACGAATTGGGGTATTCTGTTTAGAATCTTTAACTCGGGCAGGGGTAGAGGTAGAGTAGTGATTGGCTATTGTTGCTTTCCCTGAATCGACTTCTCACTAGGCATTTTCCCTAGTTTATTGCATGTTAGTCCAACTTGGAGAGGGCGTAACCTATATGTCTGTTCACACTCAAAGCAGTACATTGCACTTGACTATATTCCCAAATTCTGGCACTTGGTTGTTAGGGGTATGAGAAAGACGTATAATACAGCAGGGACACTTCCCTACTCTTGGCCTGGCTGGCATGATAATCTTGCCTATCATTTAAACCTACTTTTCCTCAACCTGTAGACACTGGGTTGCTCTCTGGGTTGCTCTAACAGACAATGGCAAAAATGTTGCTTGTACAGCTTTTCAAATCACAGGCTAGAACCACAATATAAAATTGAGTTTTGGTTACCAAATTGAAGCTGGGTGAATTAAGAGTCCTCATCGGCCTGCGTTGCCCAGTTCTTTGTCAGAGACCAGAAGCGAGCAGGGCAGAAGAGAGCACAGCTGAAGGAGCCACCAGTTTAATCGTAGTGGGAAAGCTGTGAAGCGGGGACCCTGCCACTACTGCAGAGCTCTTCAGTGGAAAAAAAACACCTCATTTTGCCATATTAGAGTATCATTTCTTTACTGTGTCTGTTTTTAAATTTTATTTCATCTAGTTAAACCTCTCAGCAGTGTTGGAGAATGCTGGCCCAACTGTCCTCTGTCAAGACTGTCCTGATTCAAATCCTTGGGACATTTCAGAGCAGAAGCCAGCCAGAACCCTTCCCTTTTGGACCTCAGGCCAGCCTAGTGCTTATGTCCCACAGAGACCTAAGATCTCTGAACAGAAACCAAATAGGTTTCTAGTACCTGAGCTCAATGACTTCAATGTCACTGCGGAAAAGTGGTGGTAGCAAGAATCCAAAGGTGACAAGTGGGCACTGACTAGTCTCTCACAGAAGTACACAAGGACAGTCTATGAGAGCTGTTAACATTACTTACCTAAATCTACAAACAGGTGCTTTTTTCCTATGGTATTCTTCACAACTAAAAATGAAAGATCAGGATCACTTTGCTTAGCTGATCCCAGCCTCTCCAGTTTCTTTGAATTCAAGGTCCAGCTCTCTCCTCTATCATTACCTGTGGACATTTTGCTGAAGGAAATTCCTTGTTTAACTGGTATTTCAGAAAAATGAGAAACTCTCGTCTCTGGAATCCCATCGTCACTTTCACCGGCAATTAAATGTGAAGCAGGCTGCAAAATTTTTTTCACAAAATTGCCTAAAGAAAAAAAAATATGATTTATCTAATTCTTCTTTTCCACAAACTATAAATTAAGATCTAGGCACAAGTGTACACATGAAAATTTTACACAGTGAGCTTTTTTTGCTTTCTGATTTTAAAACTGAGTTGTCACTACAAACTGTAACATGCCTCTCCTGTTACTTCCTTCCTCTTGTGCAATTCCCACTGACAGGGGAGCTTGGTGTCACTTGTAAACAAATCTTCTTAAAAGGGAAGGTTAATTTGAGAAGATGTGTCAATCTTGCTAGCATGGGCCTCAGCCTAATGCATTGCCACCAAAAAACCACAACTTCCATCAATACAAATTGAGTAAAATTTATCTTCACAATCGAGATTAAAGAATGAAAGGTTTATATGAATAAATGGTGCTGCCAAGATAATGCACAGAAACACTGAGAGAATCTCTACCATATTCTCCTCGAGTCATGATGCCAGCAAACTTCCAGGAGCTTTTTCTCTCTCCTTTATCCACCATAATATGCCCTAAGAATGCTGACATTGACAGCTATCAGTTCCAAAGCTGATGTTCCTCTCACCTTTCCCTATGGATTGTTGCCTCATAACTAAAGCTCAGAATTAAAACAGTTAAATACATTTATTTCAACATGTAAATGTATTTCGACATTTATTCTAAGAGCTCTAAATATTAGTGGTCGTATCTTTACCAAGAAAACAAAACATGACAATCTGTAACTTCTTTAAACACTCATATATTATTTATACCATAAAATCAAGCAATAATTTGGTTGTTACTTCATAACAATATTAGAGAAATATAATACCGTAAAAAAAAAAAACCTTAATCTTAAAAGCTAGTATAGTCTAGGTTTGTCACTTTATTTACCAAATAGCTTAATATCTTAAGTCATAAGATACCTATGCTCTAAATTTTAAAATCTTTCTCCAAATTAGACTTAATCACTTTCCTACTCAAAAAAACAAATCCACTCTTATAAAACACTAAACATCAAAATGAAAGCAAAAGCATTTGATCTTTGCAATGATATACAGATATGATTATTTCTGGAATGAGGAAGATAAGGTAAATACTGAGTACAAAGAAATCATGAGGATATCGAAGGACAACAAAGCAATACAAATATAAATGGATAAAGTTAATTTTCTTGGAAATGTAACATTAATCTACGTGACACAAAAAATAAGAGAACCGAAGCCATGGTTGCAGAACCAGTTGCAAAGGTAGCACTAAGGAGGCCATGTAAACCTATGACTTTTGGCAGGGAGCTAACACGGCCAGGATATGACAGGATAACTTGCATAAATACTAACACAGACTCCCCCAGCAAACTACTTTGCTTTTTACTTCCCTTCCCCAATCTTACCACCCTCATCTCATCATTAACACAGGGGCAATTTTATTGGCTCCGAATAACTCAAAAGAATGTATCAATCACAGAAATATCAGATCCTATGGCAGGCTGACAGCAGAGTATTTTAGGCAGATCAAATTTATACATTTTGCTAACATTCTATGATCTCTTAAACTAACCCTAATTCCCCTTTCTGAAAGGCTAACAACGGGAACTAGAAATGTCACCAAGAGACACACTGAAGGAGGGGAAGTGATGAGGAAAATTTGGACTACTCCACAAGTTCTGCATCTCTGGTTCTGGCAGTTCATAATTTCAGAGGAAAGAACCCTCAGAAGGCATCCCACGTATCAGGTCTGATTATGTCTTGCACTCTAGCCACACTTAGAGTCCCAGTGTGCTCCAAATTAGTCACAAACTCTTATCTCTATACCTTTGCTTATGCCATTCTGACAATAAAGCCTTCATACGATAGGATTTAAAGCCCAGATTGAATGCATTTGCTTTCAGAATACATATGTAGCAGAGAGTGCTAACTATCTGACCAATTTCTATTCTCCCCTTCTTCCTCAGCAGCAAATCAATTTTTAGCTTTGTGGTAGGAGTCAGAGAATATGAGGAGTAAATAGGAATCAAAGAAATATCTTGCTTAGGACTCTGTCTCCACACCCTAACAGTAGAGCCCACTTAATATTCAGTCATTCATTCAACAAATATTTATTAAATGCCTACTTTGTATTTATTATTGCTGCTTCTGCTACCGTTACATTATTAATATTATTGATAAAGAAATTATTATGTGATAAGCTCTGGAAATAACAATAGTGATTAAGAAAACAGTCCCTGTCCTAAAGAAAAATTAAGTAGAACAGACCGAAAAAACAAAAGGAAATTACCTCAGGAAGTGGTGAATGTCTTGACATGATAAGCACTGGGCACTCTTTGCAACCAAGAGGAAATACTAAACTAAGTCTTAGAATTTGACATAAATGGCTTCTCAGATAATGACATCTACATTGAGGCTTAATAGACCAGGTGACTTGGAGGCAAGTACCTTCAGACAGCAGCATCAAAAAGTGCCAAGGTCCAGGGACTAGAGATAATGTGGCCCCAGTGGGAGATAAGTAAACGATGGAGTGAGAAGAATCAAGTGGTCAGAGATGAAGCTAGAGCACAGTGAGCCTCACTGTGCAAACTAAGACATCTGGACTTTTTCCTAAAGGTAATGAATAATCCTTGCAGTGGTATAATCAGACTATTCTGGCTAGCTGACTAAATGAGTATATTCAGAGACATACAGAGGTCAAAGATGACACCAACATTTCTACTTCGTAATTGGGTGGATGATGATATCACCCACTGATATACATATCACAGGAGAAACAGCAAGTTTTCAGGGAAAGATGAGGAGTTTGGTCTAAAACATGAGTGTCTATGTGGGGATGTTTAATAGGCAGTTGGCTCTACGGGTCTGGTGTTGAGAACAATAATCTTGGCTGAAGATAAAGATTTCAGTCATCAACACATAGATGGTAATCGGAGCCATAACAGTGAATGACAATCAAGGTTACAGATAAAGTAAACAGGGGAACAAGGATGGATCCTACAATTACTAATACCTAAAGGATAAAAAAGACCAGAGAAAGATTGTCCAACTAAGCGAACAGAAAAAAGAGCAATAATATGGAGCCTTAGCTACACAGTACACTAAGTTCCTGACTTTCATGTCAGTCCTTTAGTGACTACATTCATGCCTTTTACCCAAGATACCCCTGAAATTGTCAGACCCTTAGTCCTGAAATGGATTACCTGTTACTTGAACTTCAATTGTTTGCTATTTGGACTAAGGAATACCTGCCCTACTCCTCCTGCTTTAATAAACACTCAGGATTTTAACTTCTATGTAGACCTTGGTTTTTGGTGTTCCCATTCTGCCTACTTGTTCCCCTTTGGACTGACTTCATTTTATAATTGGGATTCTACCTAAATTTCTAGTCCTGGAACAAATACTCTTTACGTTTTCAGGCTTACACATCTAGATTGCTTTAGAATCCTAACGTTTGGTCTGAAACAATAAACAAGCCTTCCTGGATACAGCCTGGAAACCAAGCCCCAGTCCTCATGTACAAAAAGCTAAGGCTGAAGGTCAGAAATCCAGATCTGAGGTACCACTGATAAGACTTGAATTAGGTCTCTCATGTACTAACTAAAAACTTCTGAAATGACTCCCATTGGAGCTGAAACCAGTATCAGGGCATGGGTGGCCACTTCAGTATCTATAGCAAGAGGTACAAATGCCAAGAATATCCTGAGTAGGCTAATGTGTCTAAGATGTGTCTTAAAATAGTAAGATAGGTCTAGAACTAAAAGAAATACTGAAAACGTGAAAAATCACATTTCAGTTTTTAGGATAAACAAACATAAAACCTGACAAATACTTACAAAACTGAGGAAGGAAAGAAAAATATGAGCTTTTAATATAACTCTGTAACTTTAAAAAAAAAAAAACCATATACTTGCCAACATGAATGTTATCTTTAAATGCTACATCATGGAGCTGAAATATCAAATGGCGGCTAAATTTTTCATCAGTGCTAGAATCCAGGTTGAAAACATCTTCGGCTGAACAATTAACTCTGTATAACTCTTGAAGTGCTTTACAAACATGCTAAAAACACAAGTAAAACAAAATAATTCATATTTTTAAATGTTTTAAAATTTTTCTGTGAGCAAAATTCAAATATCTTGGAACAAGTATAACTTTTTTTTTTATTTATTTACTATCAGAATATTATACAATTTTACCAAATTACTTATCTGTTGAAATATACATAAATTATGTAACAAGTTTATGTTTAAAATTCCATAAACTCTCAGGATTAAAGGCCTCTTAGAAGTTGAACAATTTACCTTACATATTAATCTCCTCTAAAATCATATAAAAATGTTTCTTTTTAAGTATCTCTTTAAGTATCATCTATGAGTTAAAAAGTCACTAATCCCATTGTTTAAAATTTTAGTTTTCAGAAAGTTCCTCAAGTATACTGAGTCCAAATCTACCTCCAAGAATACAGCCTTTGGGGCTAGATGATGCTGATATTAAAGGCGGTTATGCATTATAGGAAGGCAGCAAGCTTGGGTTAGAAGCACAAGATTTGGAGTCGGAAAGATCTAGGTTTGAGTTCTGGCTTTGCCACTTACCAACACTGTGACTTTGGTCAAGTCCAAACCTTACATTCCTCAACTGCAAAATGAGATATTGGGACCTAACTTTTGCAGTTGTTGTAGGGAGTAAGAGAGAAAACGAGAGTAAAGAGTTAGCATAGTGCTTGGCACATGTAATTGCTCAAAAGCATTAGCTGTGAAGCCATAGCACAAGTCATTTCTCTTGAAGCCTGTTTTCATATGCAAAGCAAAGTTACTAAGAACTACCATGCAGGGATATCTTAAGATTAGCAAAAATGTTTGTAAACTGCCTAGCACTTAGGTACCTAATAGTTATGCAATAAATTTTGTTAATGTTGTTTTGGTATTATTATGGTTCCCCACACACACACCGCCCCCACGATCTGATCCTCTTTTTCAGTAAATTCTCACTTTCTCAGAGAAAGTTTCCTGAATTTCTCTATCTGCATCAAATTCCCCTTATAAACTCTATTTGTAGTACTTACAGAGCTACAATCTTATGTTAATTTGTGAATTATTTTGATATCTGTTTCCTGTGTATTACAGAGGCTATTCCTATCTGTCCTCTCTTGCTTCTGTGGAAATGGAAGCCTGATCATTAGCTGGATAGGGGCCCATCCAGAATACAGACCACATTCTCCAGATGCCTTGCAGTAAGGTGTGGCCATGTGACTAAGTTCTAGACAATGGGATGTAAGCAGAAGGCAAGTAACTAGCCACTTCTAAGTTATACTCTTAATGGCAAGAGGCATGCCCCTTCCCCATTTTCTACTGACTAGAATGCAAACATAGTATAGTGATGGTGGGCCACCTTGGACAATGTAAATGGCAACATCTTAGGAATAGCAAAGCAACAAGGCTAGTCCCTAACACAATGGAGCTGGATCTAAATATTACATGAGAGAGAAATAAATTTCCACCTTGTTTAAGCCACTTTAATTTTAGGTCGTTATTATGATAGCTAATTCTATCCTTATTTATTATCCTCCATTAGACTATAAATTCTACAAAAGCAGAAATCATGTCTCTTTGGGTTAACCATTGTACTCCTAGCACCCAGGCAAAGTTACACTTAGTAGAACCTGAAAAAGTTCTCATAAGTGAATAAAGTCTAGTTTTATACTTTGGAGCTATAAAGAATAAATGTAATGACTATAGGTAATAAAAGAAATTATAATCTCCTAAAATCTTCTGCCCAAGTTAAACTTTAAAATTTTAAGTTATTTAAATATTTAATTTATAAAATCCATAAGTTAAAAATATGATTATTTGGGCAATGTTACCTGTCAACATAGTTTTATATGCTTTAGCACCAGAATTCATTCCAGTTGGTGGAAGCGGTAATTTGAAATTTGTAAGTCATTGAATCAGAGGACTTACATGTTATCATTAGTAATCATTAACCAGTTATTTATCAATCATCTGTTAATATAAGAGCTAATCTAAGTTATACCTCCTCACAGAGATTAAAAAGGAAATGTACTTACTGAATTATATACTTGTTACATACAAAGTAAGCAAATGAAATTAACGTTAATGTAATCATTTATGAAGGCTATATTAAATAAAATAATCCTAATGACTCTTCTACCAACATGGTAAACATGTTTTAAAAAATGCTGTATAATTTTAAACTCATATTTCTACAATTCTTTCCAATGTTTGCTGATGAAGATTAGTTGTTCAAGACTAATCTGGATAAGAGTGTACAAAGAATCAGAAAGAAAAAACTTTTAAACACCGACGTAATCTTTACCACACCATTGTTTGTTAATCTATGTTACAAATAGAATTTGTCGGGTACGGATTCCATTAGGGACATTTCTAGTTTCTAATACAATGTGGTACTTCTTAGTTAATGGTATCACCATATTAACGTGCCAGTGAAAATCTCTAAATCTTAATTCCTTGTTAGTTACACATTTTCCATGTAATAAATCCTACCTTAGACTGTAGAAGAGTATCATATACCAGAAAGTAAGTCAATATCCTTGAATTAAAAACATAAGGTTAAAAATTAAAATTTACCAATTATAATGAAATAAAACACTTAAATTTATTTTTAAGGGTACAATGGCTATTTTAAAAAAAAACAACTTTTTGCTATTATTATTTTGGAGGGGAAGGGAGGCTTATGTATATTTCTTCTGCTTCAAAGCCAGCAGAAAGATAACATGATTTTTTAAAAAACGGTATTTGCTTACATTTTTCAAATAAATTTAAAACAAAACATGTAAAGATCCAATATAATCGGCAGATATTCTTTACCAAAAACATTTTAATTTGGACATACTTTTAAAGTTATAAAATGAGTCATCTACAGTTAATATCTAATGGAAAAATAATTAATAAACGTCAATACCTACTCTGGGGCCAAATAACAGTTAATATAATTTTAATACAACTTAATGCATTACAATCTTAAAAGGTTTTATAAACAAACCTAATAGAGCTTAGTTACACAAACCCATACTATTCCTTTGTTAGTAACTTCCTGATTGACACTGCTAAATCAAAAACATATACTAGAACTATACTTTTCTCTTTGTTAAAAACAGTGATAATTCTATTTCTATATCAGTTTTTGCCAATAACTAGCTGCAGCACCCTAAATGAAAATTAAGTCTATGCCTTAGTCACTTCATTCATGAAAGGGGTTCCACCTCCCAATACGTGTGTGTGTGTCTGTGTGTGCGCGTGCATGTGCACGCTTCACCACCCCAATAAACAATTCTAGAACACCAGCAGGGTGTCTGAGAATTCAACTTGATTTTGACACTATCTATTCTGCGACAGAATCAGATTACATATGTAAAGGGCTCAGTCCCACGAGACCACCCTCCACCCTCTGAGGTGCCAGTCACAGGCCCAGGTTGTTACCTGTGATTCTGACCAACCAGCTACAAATTGGAGGTTCCAACAACTCCCTCCAATTCAGGATGCTAATCACAAATCCAGGTGGTCACCTGTACTGCTGACCAACTGGCTATAAGTCAGTGGTTCCCACGATCCCCTCCTAGGTTCTATTAGTCATTCACTGCATAACAATGTTTCCGTCAACTATGGACCACAAATACAAAGGTGGTCTCATAAGATTATAATGGAGCTGAAAAATTATTTTCATCTAGAGACATAACAGCCATAGCGCAATGGATTACTCATGTCTTTGTGGGGATGCTGGTGTAAACAAACCTAATGCTCTGGCAGCTGCATAAAAGTATATCACAATTACATGTAATACATAATACTTGACATAATAAATGACTATGTTACTGGTTTATTTATTTACCATACTAAACTTTCCATTGTTATTTTGGAATGTAGTCTTTCTGCTTATGAAAAAAGTTTCCTTGCAATGTATATATGCCATACTGTTGAACTGTATATTTGAAACTTACTGGATTTCATTAACTAATGCCACAATAATAAAAAAATAACAATAAATATATAAAAATAAAAAAGAAAAACAAAAAAGTTTCCTATAGAAGAGTAATACCCAGTTACATTAGCAGTAGTCTCATACATCTCTTAATTGCCTCATTTTCTCTTATGAATGATTTAATTTCATGTTGTTTTGTATAGTACCATGCTGTACAGGCTGTATTCTAGGAGCAAAAGGCTATACCATAGAGCCCAGGTGTGTACTAGGGTATACCATGTAGGTTTGTGTAAGTGTACTCTATGATGTTTGCATAACAATGAAATTGCCTATTGATGCATTTCTTGGCACATATCCCCATCATTAATCAGCGCATGCCTGTAATTTGCTAGAAAGGCTCAGAGAACTCAAGAATTCTCTGATTACTGAACTCACTAGATTACTGATTTATTATAAAATGATATAACTTAGAAATAGCCATATGGAAGAGATGCCTAGGTCAAGGTACGCTGGAAAGGGCACAAAGCTTCCATGCCTTTTTAGGCTTGCCACTTTCCCAGCACCTCCATATGTTCACCAACCCAGAAGCACTCCAAATTAAGGCCTTTGAGTTTTTAATGGAAGCCTCATTACATAGACGTAATTGATTAAATCAGTGGCCACTGGCAATTAAACTCACTTTCCAGCCTCTTTCCTCTCCCTAGAGGGTGGGGCATGAGGGGGTGGGGCACAAGGATTTGAAAGTTCCAATCCTCTAAATCACTGGCTGGTGCTCCTGGCAACCAGTTCCAAAGGCTAGGTACTTCTAAAAGTCACCCCATTCACATAACGAAAAATACCTTTGTCACTCTCAAGGTTTAGGAAATTCCAAAAGTTTGGAGAGTAGTAAGCCAAGAACTATGAATGAAGACCAAAGATACATGAGAAATATATTTTGAAAATCTAAATGATCAATTATATATTTCTTATGAATCACAATATCATACGGTACAAGATAAAATAATTTCCAAAATCCCTGCCAGCTCATTCGGATACCATTTTTATCAGTTTTCTTAAAGCTCATCTCAATACTCAATTTTTATAGTAAAAATTATTTTGCCTAATCTTTACCAGAGGCAGCTACCTGAAATGTAAATCAGACAATATATAAAAAATAGAAAATTCCCCAGTTGCCACCTTTTTCAAGCTTCTTTTTGAACTAGATATTACAAAATATGTGAACATAAGCTAAACCTTCCTCCTTTTTAGAAGTTTATACACAGAAGTAATATTAAGAAATAAAAGTCAAAAGGAAGAGTTGCAAGAAACAGGAGAAACACAGGTAGGTTAGATTCACTTAATGAATGAATGAGTGAATAAAGAGATACATACAGATCAAATAAGGAAAAACACAAGAGTAATTTACCTCAATGAGTAACGCAACCATCATTTTCCCATCAGCTTCTGGATTGGCAAGTTTGTTAAATTCCAAATCAAAATAGAGCTTGCACACGGCATTTTCAGGAATGACTTCATAACAGTGTAAGAGATTTTTTCTGAATGGAATAATTCATGATTGTTAAGTTTATATCACATACCTTTTAAATCACAGAACTTGATCTTCTATCTCAAGATACTATATTAACTGTGGTTTGATGACATAAAACTATGACATAATGAAGACATGATAAAGTGAACAGCTGCTCACCATAGGTTAATGGATCAGTGTCAAGAGTTTCCACCAAATAAGATATAGCAATCGTTTTCTGTAACTGAACAGATATGGTCAACTTCATACTGTTATTTATTCAAAAATGATTTTGATACTGTGTAACACTTCTATATTTTTGGGGGGCATCACCATGAAGCAAATTTTGTTTGAGAAAACTTTCTCAAACTGAGATGCCAGAATCACACATTCTTGGGATTCCATGAATTTTTTACGAGAATTTTTAACTTTCATATTTTCATTAGGAAAATATATTTTAAAAATTAGTTAAAAACATGCGCAGTCACCTGTCTTCAATGAGCTTTCAATACTCACATTTGCAGTTACATTCTTGCTGGCATCAAGAAGTATAATTTTAACATGGGTTAATAAGAACAGATGCTGATTTGACAAGTAAATGCTAAGTTGTACTAAGTATGGATGGCATCCTATATAAACACAAGGTTTGCAGTAATTTGAACAAGGAAAAGTGATGGGGGAATTGTATCATCATATGACAAGAACTTAAAACACATGCAATTTTTTCTCCCAACAATGGGTGAGATAATTCAATGTTGTTACGTCAAGGAAGCTCCAGAATTTAATTCTAATAGTAAAGGAGTACTGAATAACGTGACTGAGAAATATCAAAGCCAATTCAGCTTAAATTAATTTCACGAACATTAGATTAAGGAAATGAAATGTAACTTTAATGTATTGTTCTTTACAAGCTACTTACCGGGACTTATAATAAAACCAAAATTGAACATAGGTTGTTACGAGGTAAATACGCTGTCCATCGCCCACTTTGTATTCCAAAGCAAATACATGAACATCCTTTAGAAAATCAAAAATATTTAAAAATTAATGAAAATCTAAAATCAGCTATAGCTATTAAATATTCATAGAAAATGTTACTAATTTTCAAAAATCAGAATTTGAACATTTATATTATTAAAAACAAGAAAAATAATTACTAGATCTATGCCAATCAAAATCTAGTCATTTGTACTTATTTAGTCACTCAGGTAAAACATGTTCAAGGCAGAAATAATTAGAATATCTAAATTAGAAATAAAGGAGAAAAATCACTTTCAATTACTCTAGTTTGACCTATTATAATTTCATTAGCTATTTTATAAAACTTATTTTTAAAACTATCTAAACATTATTATTTGGGCTAAAATTAATAAATTCTCTAGTACAGATAAAAACAGGCAGGAACCAATTTTTAAATGGAACATTTGTAAGTTAATCTTGAAAGTTTTAAAATGTTTAACTTTAACAAGTAACTATAAATTGTCTTTTCCATGAGAAACCAATCTTTTTAAGGTTAATTGCTATGGCACTTGACATAACTGTGACTGCTGCCATAAAAAGTTTCTTTCAATAAATACACAGGTTCTTTTGTTTCCACTTAGCTAAAGGTAGCTGTTGAGCCTATAGCGGAACTAAACTTCCATTTTAATAAGTGAGAAATTATAGGAGGGCAAAGTTGCCTGACCCTACTAAAAATCTTGAGATAAATTTTATAGACTGGTGATTGGTTAAGTCCGGCAATCATATTCCTATGTATATTTTTTTAATTCAAGATCAAATGAATCTGTATTTAAATTTCTGATACCTGAATTTGGTTTATACAAAATGTGAAAGGTGTTTCTCTTATTTCCTAAACTATTCTGATGAGATCTGAGTGAGCTTATCTTCACGTAAGAGTCCTCTTCTTAAAAAACTTTAGCATGATGAGTTTTTATATAGCATCAATGATCAGAATCACAATATATTTATGCTAGATATTATGCATCTTTTCATTATATAGTTGACCCTTTAAAATTTTTTTATATTTTTCATTATAGTTGACAATATATTAGTTTCAGCTGTACAACACAGTGATTAGACATTGATACAACTTACAAAGTGATAACCCTGATAAATCCAGTAACCTTTTGACACTATGACCCTTGAATGCAGAGGTGAGGAATGCCAACCCCCAGACAGTCAAATATCCATGTATAACTTCTGACTCCCCCAAAACTTTACTAATAGCTTACTGTTGACCAGAAGTCTTACCAATAACAAACAGGCAATTAACAAACATTTTGTATATGTTAGGCATAGCCCATTTTATTGCACTTCACTTTATTGTGCTTCACAGACGTTGTATGCTTTACAAATGGAAAGCAAGACCCTCCGCCAGCAAAAAGATTACAACTATTGAGATACTTTATATGTGGTGGTCTAGATTCTAGAACCAAAACCGCAACATCTCTGAGGTATGCTTGTATTACAGACTGTATTCTTACAATAAAGTAAGCTAAAGAAAATATTTTTAAAAAATCATAAAGATGAGAAAATACATTAACAATATAAACAAAAAAAATCTGGGAATAAGTGAACCTGCACAATTCAAACCCATGTTGTAAGCGCTTCTTTGTCCTACTTGCCTAATGTGTTGGAAATTATGATAAACCCATCCTACTACTCCAAAGCACAAAAGGAGACAGTAGAAAGATAAATACATGTGTGCTTTGGCACTATGATTTAAGTTCTAGAACTTATTAACTCTAAGCTATAATATTTGAGATATTTTCACATCCTATTGTTTAAACAATTCTCCTTTCCCTAATTTCATGCTAAAAATCTCATTCATTTCCTCACTTGTTCATTTCCTCATATTTCTGAGTATTCAGTTTAACTCTTGAAAAACTCAGTCATTCTATTGTTCTTAGTCCACGAATATGGTTACTCTTCCTCTACGTATTGCTTCATTTAAACGTCATTACAAATTTTTTAGAAGCAACTGGCACTAGATATGGTACTCTTTTTCATTATTAATATAAATGGCTAATGATTCATAGGCATATTTTTCCTAAACAGTGTGATATTAAGACTGCAATTAAATTCTTTTGGTAGAGTATGTGGCCTGAAATAAAAACACACAATAGATTTTTTTAGAAATCTTAAGTTATAGCAGCTCTAAAATAAAGTAGGAGAAAATTACCTCTTTACAGTTTTTAACAAAATTAAAAGCTTCAGTTTGCCGATGAAATAGTTTCCAAACAGAGGATGGTTCTTCTGGCTTGGACAACCTGGGTCTGTACACTAAGGACAACGGTTTTCTCTCATAATGGGATGCTCGTTCTTCAATTTGCTTCAGTTTTGCTTCCCATTTTCTCTTCATTGGTTCAGAGGTATGAAGAGGCTAAATCCTACCCTGTGTTCAGAGTTTTATCAATTATTACTAAAACAAACAAACAAGAACATCACTGTTTTTGTTTAGAATATATTTTGTTTGGTAAAACTTAAAAACTCATTTCCTTCTTTTATATTTTATGTTTTATATTTATTTTAATGTGAAATGAGAACAGAGCTAGTTATCACAAACCTTTATGATGGCTCTTCCATCTATAGTGCTACAGTTTTAGACAAGTTAGTGAAGGTTCCTAAATCTTAATCAACTGCAAAATGGGAATCAATATCATCCTGAATACTTTATCTGGAGGATAAATGTGATATGATGTGAAAAAGTTTTGTAAATTACAAAGCTTCATGTAGATATCTTGTATCATTATGGTTTTTATTACCACCATTTAACTGTATCAAGTGCTATCCACCTTGCCCAGCTGGTGCTACTACCCTGGCCACCATTCTTGGGCTATTACTTGCCTAGAATTCATTTCTAGGCACTACTGTGCAGTTCTTAGCTCCTTTTTCCTCCGTTTCTGCCCATTGCTCTTACCTCCAAACATAACTGTTAGTTGGAACGATAACTCTGTGTATGAATGGTAACTATAATATTGGCTAGTTTGGGTTTGAGATGTCTATGGTAATCATAAGAATGATTTAATAAATAAATCTTAACTTATGTCTTTTAACTTAATGACTGTATTTTTGTGATAAGTCAATGTTGATGATTGTATTTTAACACTTGTTTATTAATGACATGTGTTTTTGTTTGCATACAATGCTTTCATGTTAGCCATGCCTGGGTAAGGGGACCAGGCAACAGTTTTCCAATTTGGGATTATGTTTATTTACAAAGGAAAAAGATTAGGTTTTGAGAAGGGTTTTGAAAGCTTCCATTGCAGATAATAAATGACAACAAATTCTTTGCCATTCCTTTCATCAAGAGATGCCATCTAAGCCCATTCTCATATTAACTCTGGGCTTGGCCATGTGACTGACTTTGGCCATGTCACATTAACAAATGTGAAGCAAGCAGAGGTTTAATAAGTGCTTTCGTATTGCATTTGGCTATCTTGGAGTCCTTCCCTGAGATTGTCATGCTATTGCTCTAGCTGCACAGAGGATAAAAGGCCATCTGGAGAAGTACCCCAGCTAACAGCCAGCACCAACTATCAGATTTGTGAATTAAGCCATTCTGGATCATCCAAACATCATCTGAATTCAATTCATGAGTAAACCCAAGTGAATTCAGGTGAGATCTGCCAAAGAGATGCCCAGCCAACTCACAGAACTGTAAGACAAAATTTGTTGGTTTGGTGTTTGGCCTGGTTTTTAAATAGAAATAGGTAACTGATACAGTTTCCCGCTCCACTAATATCATCTCTGTCATAATTTATGTAGAAAACAGATATATTAGTTTTTTAAGTGAAATAATAATATATACTAAAGCATCTGAGGTTAAAACTCTTATTTACCTTTGACAATGTCTTTACAGCATTTTCACTTATCAAATTGATAAATATTCTCTTGTATTTTAGCATACGACTCCTCAACAAAACAAACTCACTGGTAAATGATATTCCCTGAAGGAAAAATAGAATCATCCTAAAAGATTGAGGGTAGGAATGTCATGAGTCATGACATGGTTAGAAAAAAAAGGCATATTATCTATAGATTTCAAATCTGATTTCAAACATAACAGACCTAAGATTCTTCTCTAACCCATATGAAAATTACAAATTATAAACCAAGAAACAGAAATATAATTCTGAAGGTGTCAACATAAATTTCAAAAGACACACTTATGAAAGGAATGTAGTCTCAATGGATTGAAGATATGGGGCAATTTTTAATAAAATTTTTCAATACAAAGTGATATTGCTAGATAAATTCTGAGTGATATGGCTCCTTATTGATAAATTCTGAGTATTCGGCTCACTTTAATCTGCTTCACATAAAGATAAAAATCCCCTACATTTGGATAGCCTGAGAAATTTACCTTTCTTCTATGAAATTTATTAACTTTTAATAAAGCCCAATAATTAATAAGCACAGACTACAATCATGTGAATTGTAGCTCTAGTACTTAACCAATAACTGACTAGGAATAACCATATGGATCGGATCTTCACTTAGTGACACTGACATCAGGAAAACTTTTTAGTTTTCTAAAAATATTGGTATACCTGTGGAAGTGTGTCATACATGAAAGTCATGGAGTCCCAGTGAAAAACCAGTTGAACATTTACTGGACTGAGAAAACCATGAGTATCAACAGAAAAAGAAAAAAAAAAAAAGAGAAGTTCAATATGTCATGCCCTCAAGTGGTTTGGACAATTTGAAAATTTTAACAGCTGGGTTGAGGGTTAGAGGACGACTGAGGCTTGGACTATTCCAGCAGGAGAGTTGAGTGACAAAAGCAAAGGAAATGGAGAACAGGAATACATCTGGCATCCTGGTTTTGGACTATCGTATTTCTCATCCCTACCCTCAGGGAGTAACTGTAGTGGGAAAAGAGGCAGTAGGGGTGGAGGTGGAGAGATGCCTTACACAGCCAACCTAAGTAGCCCTGGTTTCCCTAGGTTTATGCTAGACTTGTCCAGCTATGACAGCCTGGTACCCAGAAACAGCTGGACTAGGTTAGGGGGCACTTGCTTCATGATTACAGGCTTCTCAGGTGATCTGAAGCCTACCATGCCATGGTATTCTCCAGCCCAGTTCTTCTGGGTTGGTTTGTTTTGTCTAATTGCAAGTCAATTCTTATTCCCTAACTCTAACTTCTCCCTCTGTCCTGAGAATAGATTCACCAATATTTTGTTTTCTGGCATATATGTTCTAGTTCTAGTATTTAGTAATGTTCTGGGTATTTGGCAATGTTTTCTCACTATCCCTTTTATGGCCCCCTGTAATGCATTTATACTATTTCTCCCACTGCTAACGTCTTCATAATAAAGTATGTGATTAAAATTAACTTACAGTAATAGTATATAAACTCTTTCCAGAATGACACTTTAAATTGCATAAACTGAATTTTCTTTTTTCCCATTTCAGTCACTTGGCCTGTCTATGCTTGAACAAAAGTAATTCATATTTAAATTTCTCAAAAGTCTCCTGTAAGGGATAAGAAGGCATATTGTTCTTTTCCAGTTCCCCCTTTCTACTATGCCCAAAGGATCTCCCATTCAAAAAGCCTAACTGCCAGACTAATTGCCCTTAAATCCATTTGTATAACTTTTCATAGGGACACTTATTAATGATTCGGAGCATTACCTAATTCACATTATAGTTTACTTCAAGAAGTCTACAAACTCTCTCCAGAATCTAGCCCTAAACCACTTCCCCAGTTTTTCTTGTTCAGCCTTCTCACCAAATGATAACCACCACTCCCTACACCTGGCCATTCCAAGCGCCCTCTTGCCTGCTTCTCTCACGTGGAATGCTCACTTGCTTTTCCCAATCTTTTCCTCTTCAAGGGCCAGATCAAGTTCTGCCACCTGTGAGACCCTTTGTAAAAAGAAATGGATTCAGAAGACAGTGCCTCCAGCCAACCGTCTGATATAAAGTTTCTCTAGAATAAGTAAATTAGTATAATTCATACCAAAACAGAAAACTGCTGCCATTGCTTTAACTGAAGCATCATTTTGGTAAGAAAGTTTAGCACAGGAAGGGGCTTGTGCATTACCATAGGACTTGTTCAACTATACCGGTGCCTTTATGAATAACTGCGTGCTGAACCACTGATAGGATCTGGGAGAAGGTCCTATTCTTCAGTGTTACTGCAACAACAAAACACTGCCAAACACTGGTCCTCTCTCAATCTGGGAGGCCTAAATTTTATTCCTGGGATCAGACTGTGACTCCCGTAACTCTTTTTTAACAAGAGCAAACTACTTAACCTTTTTAAACTCAGGCGGGGATTGGAATTCTCACTTCCAGGGGTTGTTGAAAGGATAAAATAAGAAAGTGTAGCGTGAAAATGTACCAGCACAAAATAAGAACCCAACAAGTGGTAGCCATATAAAGATATGTATTTGTGTACAAATTATAGCCCCTGATTTGTGCCCAAACAGGCAAAAGTGTTGGAGGTAGTCTACTTCTTAACATGGGGGGACGTAGCGGGGGACGGGTGTCCCTGACTAGTCAGAATGTTACGAACCTCTTAAAATTTGACGCAGAACTTGGTTGTCAACCGCGTTGGTAGTCCTCGGCGAAAGCAATCGTAGTTTGCATCAGGCTCTGGAAGAAGTTCGTGACCCAAAACAGGCGAGAAACCAGTAAGGGCAGTTAAGGCTTTTGGTTTAGGGTCAGGGAATTAGAAGTGACTTACGGAAAAAGGCTTCAGGTGGCCTGGGGGAAGCAGAGTTTACCGTCGCGGGTCGCCCCTCTACCTCCCGGAAGTCAGAAGAGGCGTCAGGCCCGCCCTTGACTCCCCTCTCTTTGCCCCTTGGGCCCGGCACGGCCTTCACGTCCCCGTCCGTTTACCTCCGGAAATCTGCGCGGTGAAGGGAAACGTCCGCGTCCTCAGCGGCGAGCGGGACCCAGGCCCTGGTTCCGAGGCCGGACTCCGCGTTCAAACGGCGCGCGGGGACGGGGCGGGGGCGGGGGCT